CCAGATCCAGTACTTCGTTGCCTTCTCTGAAGCGTAGTGCCTCTAATGATGCCTTTATAGCATGGAGAATCGAGACGTCATAAAAGTGTTGCACTTATAAGCGACACTTGAAAAATTGGACATACGACATTCCTGTAAGGTTTTTCTCCATTCTTCTGAGATGCGCTCGCTGTTATAAGACCTACTTAGAAATCCGCATTCACCCACTGATAAGCTTTCAGCCACTGCATGACCTCAGACCATGGCAAAATGCATGGGACAACCCAATACAATAGGAGACTTTATTACTTCCAATCTTGCATTGAAAATACGACACGGAGTATACATGGGTTGTAGTGGCGCCACTGCTGGTCAGATCTCAGATGGAATCATGTGGTCATCCGTACGGAATTCGGATGAAGGTATGGTTACGCTGTGAGACGAAGGGGTGTTAATCGTACGCCAGTGGCGAAAATGGCAGTAAAGATCGCGACGGACGGACGGCGGGAGTTTACCGCAGCGCATTTGATTACACCTTCCCAATACATGCTCCGATTGAGTTGCTCCGATTATGCCGCTGCTGGCAACACAGCTCGTCCGAGCCAACTAAACTGTAGGTGGAGCGCTTGATGGCGTGGGGCTGAATACAGCGCACCCGCTGTCCGTCGGACGCAATCCTCCCTTGGTAGCCAGGCTACTGCATTGTGTGGCGCACAACTTCCCCGACGCGCTCCCTCTTTATTGTACTCGCTACTTTTGATCGGTACTTCTTTTCAAGGTCTGGGCAGGGTCAAGCGAGGCGTTGAGGAAAATTTGGAAATACCCCCCCCCCCCCACCACCCTCCGCCGGAGGCCGAAGTCCATGAAACAACCCTCTTCAAAAGCCGAACTATGAAAAGGTTGAAAAGCTTGTTTAATTCTCCCCAAAACTGCTCATAAAAAGCCCTGCTACCCCACCGTCCACAAAAAAATTCGTTTAAGAAGTACAAAGTGAAAAAGTCAAAGAATAATCATTATTGATGAGTCCTACCAAACGAGCAAACGAGAAACAGACCAGAAAACGACAAACTAGCCACTAAAAATGGCATACTATGACAACATCTCTTCTTTATTTATTTCCTCCACAAGACTTACCAAATTCTAGTACTACACAGATTGTGGTTCTCAATTTACACGTCCCCCTTCAGTTGAAAGAAGCCTTTTAACCGCCTTCGCCAGCTGTGTGTTGACTGGACTTTGGCGTTGACCGTGGAGCAGCTTATTTACTATTGAAATTTGAACAAATATTCAAATGATTATAACTTTCTTCAAATATGACGAATTTTCAATCTGAAAGCAGATTTGGAGTTTTGTGAAGAGCTTTTTCTAATCAGTATGAAATTACAAAAAGTTATAAGAAATAACAAATTTAGATCAATTAACGAGGAAAATTCGAGATGAGCACGAGTTTTTACACTTTCCGAAGCAATAACTTGCTTCATTTTCGTCAAATTCAAAAAGTTAATATGTCATACAAAACTAGAAGATTTTCTCTATCAAACGGTTGCTAAAGCAGCTTCATACGTCCAGTATTCAAAAAATGGCCACGTTGAGGATTTTTGCAAAATTAACGAGGAAAATTCGTGATGAGTGCGAGTTTTTACGCTTTCCAAAGCCATAACTCCGTTCAAACTCATCCAATCCGAAAAGTTAATACGTCATCATAAACTAGAAGATTTGCTCTATCAAACGTTACTAGAACTGCTCCAAACGTCCAGTATTAAAAATGGCTACGTTGAGGATTTTGCACGAGTACCGCCGAAAGGTACTTTTTCGCTACATTGGCACTATTTCAACGGCTGTATATCCTTTTAAGGGCGATTATGTACTAAAGTAAGAGCAGATTTGAAATCACTGCTTTTCCGGGTGCGGGACTTTTGGTGCGTCCGGGGTTGCACGCGGCGAATCGCGCGGCGGGCTGCGCGGCGATCCGGACGAGGCAAGTCTTCGCGGGCTCTGCAGTGGAATTCAACACGTCAGAACGTGTGCAGATCGCGGATAGAATCCACAAGGTTCTGCTTTGGAAGAAACTTCAAGGAAAGAAAAGAAAATTACTTTTCAACGCGTGTACATATATACAAAGGCAACGGCAGGAAGAGAAGAAAAGGAATAGCAAAATGCTGTTATAACCTTCCATTCGCCCTGTTTTGAAACTTCTCCCCAAATACAGGAGCGAAGATATAGAGTTGACAGTTAATAACATTCCACTAAATGACTCCATTTTCGGTGCTTCTTATTCATATTTATAATATGATAAAAATGGCATTTCTATCATTTCTCTTTCATGAAAGAGAAATGATAGAAATGCCATTTTTATCATATTATAAATATGAACAAGAAGCACCGAAAATGGAGTCATTTAGTGGAATGTTATTAACTGTCAACTCTATATCTTCGCTCCTGTATTTGGGGAGAAGTTTCAAAACAGGGCGAATGGAAGGTTATAACAGCATTTTGCTATTCCTTTTCTTCTCTTCCTGCCGTTGCCTTTGTATATATGTACACGCGTTGAAAAGTAATTTTCTTTTCTTTCCTTCAAGTTTCTTCCAAAGCAGAACCTTGTGGATTCTATCCACGATCTGCACACGTCCTGACGTGTTGAATCCCACTGCGAGAGCCCGCGAAGACTTGCCTCGTCCGGATCGCCGCGCAGCCCGCCGCGCGATTCGCCGCGTGCAACCCCGGACGCACCAAAAGTCCCGTCGCCCCCTTTTCTCTTTCTAAGAAAAGTGATTGATTAGCGTTTCTCAACTTTAAAGGTTACATGTTTATAAATTTAACCCTGAAGAGTCCGTTAACGCAATGTTGAATGGTGTACACCTCCCTGTAAATGCGCACGGACACTTTCAGAATTCTCTCGATTGTTCCTGAATTGAGGTTGTTTGTCCAAGGAGCCGTAGTTGAAGCGCGCGCAACAACTAGACCCTTTCTCGGATGCGCCGTGTACCTCACATCCCTTCAGATTCGGGGTCTTACTTGAAAGATGAAATATCTCTTGGAAAGCGTGCGAAATTCAGATTCTTTAACTTGTGTGGTGATAAAACACTGAAGTAACTAAGAATTACCGGACGCCTCAGAATCACGAAAATTTTGTGTGGGTGAAATATCATTTTCATTGGAAATCCTCTGGCCTGGCATCGACTCATCCTTGATATTTGTCTTCCGACGGTGATGATCCCACTGCATCAAAATGGCTCGATCTCTTCCACCCAGCGGGCCAATACGACCCCCCCTGCGACGTGTCGAGGATTCCTCAACGCACGCTTGACCCTGGTCTGGAGGACATTGGATTGAACATTAGCTGCTCCTCGTAAGTCCCAGTATGAGCCAAATTGAATGCAGATGTTGCCACAATTCTGGAAGAGAGTAAAATGCGTGTCGCATCCGAAACGAATCTTTACCGGCGAATGCTTCCACTCTTTTATCATTCTTTCAACTACGCAACATCGACTTTTCTTGAGGACCAGTTCAGTACTACACTTAGAACATATTTACATAACACATGTAGGCGGAACTCCTTCATCGACCAACAGCGGTTTCGGAAATCCAAGACCTGGGAACCAAGCAAGAGATACCTAAAACATCCGTCCCCTAGACCAGCTCCGTGCAGGGTCGGACTTCTCCAGTCGTTTCATAAACATCTCCTTTGTTTAGAAGTAAGTGTATCCCAGACTGCAAATCCTTCCTTCATTATTCCCGCATCTCTATAGGATTGCCTACGTCTCTAAAGGCACGGAGGGAGAAAAAACTCTTATGCGGCTAACGCAAGGATTCTGAAACAAATAAACATCATCTTCTTCCAAGAAAACTTTCCAAATTTAATGAAAAGTCTAATCCGACACAATCAGCGTAGAATAACCGTCGCTATCATAAAATACGGGGCCAAGCCTAAAGGGAGCAGAAACCCAGGAGAAGATGAAAGCTGCACATAACCGAAATATCTCATTCCCCCATTTCCTAGGGCTCAGTCCCAATCGAGAAAAAGGATTGTTTTATGCGGTTTAAATCTATTGCCACCCCATGCCCCAGCACCCTGCGATAGCTCCTTACAATTTCTTTGAATGAATCTTGCCTTCTGGTGGACTATCGCGCACCACCTACAGCTCTGACGTGCTAAACCTCCGTCAAGCAATACTCACTCTATCGAAGAAGGGGTGCGTAGCGTTTCTCCTCCTGGGGTCAGGTCACCTAAAATTGAGACGCCGTTCATTCGCTCGGAGCAAGCTTAGGACTAAGCCTAGGCCCAATCATAGGCTTAGGCATAAGCCAATGTGTAAGCATAAGCCTTAACCTAAGTCTAAACCAAACTTAACCTTAAGCTTCAATGATCGCGCAACTGTGGTGACCTGACCCCAGGAGGAGAAACGCACGTCTCCCGAAGAAACCATTGAGCACGCGATCTACATACGCGATTCGCCCGATTCAATCAGTCCATGAACGTACCTTAAAATTGTCGCACCAGCCTTATATCTTATTCTATCATAAAAATTATGATGTACCCCCCTTTCAAAAACGAGAAGAGCGTCGGGTGCAGACCATACACCACAAGTGACGACGGCCTCCAAGTAAATCTGGTTAGTAGTGGTTCATAGTGATAGCTGATTTCTGGTAAATGATAGTTGTAATTAGTGACAACTGAAGAATACAACTGCAACAGGCTAATCATTTCATTGGCAGAAAATTACATTTTGTGGAGGCCGTCGTCTTGTGGTGTATGGTCTGCACCCGACACTTCTTGAGTTTTGGACGGGAGTATACATGAAACCTTGGAACATGCGCACTAAATCTATTAGAATCGAGCCGGAACTCAACCTTTTCTAGATTGAAGAATTTCACTTTGACTTTCATCTTTCATTTCATGGTCTTTTTGAACAATATATTCAATAACAAAATAGAGCCAATAACAAGTAACGACATTCGCAACAACAATGAATTTGCAACAACAATAACTTTCAAAGCAATTCCGATGGAGAAATTCGTTCTCATCTCTTCTTTGTCTTGAGACGATAAGCCACACGTGCCTTTTGGAATCCCGAGTCTTCTGGTCTAAAAATATTTAGAATGGATCCATATAAGAAATTCTCGAAGCAATCACTGTGAACTAAAAACAAGGAGTTGAAAATTGAAAAGTGCCAAATCAGGGATAGGCAGCACGGCCTTCAATTGAATATCCTGTTAAACGATGAAACCATCAATTTTTGTATTTTTCATTTTTATTATTATTTATTTTTATTTTTCATTTATTTCTGTTTTTTTTTCATTTGGTATGAATCTCTGTACCCATTGATCAGTGCAAACTTTTCGCATAAGCAGCAGTTCTTACCCATGACGCGCCTTCTTGACAGCTCGTTTTCCGATGGCTGTTAGCGCAGACGTAAACGTCGATTTCTTGCCAACAGCTGTCTTTTTCTTCTTCGAGGCTGATGGCGTCGAGGTCTGAAACTGGTTCGTAAGACTTCAGCGAGCTGATTCAAATCACAATCACAATGCTTTAGCAGGTTTCTTGAGACTACAAAGAAACAGAAAAACTACAGAATGACAGCAGCAGAAGCCACCTATTCAGTCCAACAAGCAAACTAACCTCTACGGCAGGAAGATCTGAAAGACGCATGCTCTTCTTCTTTGTGAGTTGGTGTTTCGACTGAAATTCGGTATTGCTCATGAGTAATTGTTTGAAGTATTAAAAATAAACAGCTTCCACAGTACATATCTACCCCCTCAAAGCTTGAATGCAGTGATGAACGGCAATGAAGGTCAACACTCGCGTCCGGTCGATTTCAAAAAAATTGACGATCCCCTTCTGAAGAGGTCTTTGGGACCTCGTGCAGCACGCCACACGAGAAGGGGTTACCCAAATACACCACCATTCCTCATCACCACCGAATCACCATGGCCGTTTCCATAGTATTTCACTTTGATACCAGTCGACATATTCCAACTCCGCCCATAAAACCCTTAAACAACTGTCAAGCTGGAGCGTGGGAAAGGAAGGAGGCGTAAATATTTCTCAAAAGGCAGAAAGTGTTCTAATTCTGTCAACTGTACGCCTCCTTAATGGTGCTTGCCAAAAATTGGCAAAAAAAAACTGTCAAACGACCCCTTCTCCCAAAATCACGACAGTCAACCTTCAGAACACGACCGCTTCGATCTTCCCAGTGAAATTCAACCCGAATACGACCCCCTCCCCCGAATCGCGAATACAACTTCCGTCTGGCTCGGTCACACTGACGAATGACCCTAACGTCAAGTACCCTCGGAAAATATTGGGTATTATCCCAATTTGAGGCAAAAGTTGAAAGCAGCTCATATTGTAGGTGGGACGAAAATGTACCCACGTGACCCACGTGCTTTGAGAGATATATTTGCACCTTGAAGTTAATAGTAAGCTCACCTTCGGTGGTGCCTCAACTACAGCTCGCAGTCGGCGATTCTTTCCTCGCCGGGCTCTCTTCGCTTCTCGAGCTTGATAAGCCATCTCGTGCTCGAGTCTTATCTCCTCCGGCTTAAAATCACAATTGAAGATAAGTCGCAGGTGACGGAATTAAGAAATTTTAATGCTCACCGTTTTCTCGGCCTGCTTCCGTTTCATTTCCTCCTTCCGTAGCATTCTCTTTTCAGCTCGTCTTCGCTCTCTTTCTGAAAACAAAAAAGATAAAACTAATTTTCTTTTTTCACAAGTGAGAGAGACCGAATTAATGACGGTGCTTTCACCTTATCCAACCCTTTTACTGTCCTGTTCAAATGGATAATAAATGAAATTATGGTAGTTCTCCGAAAAAGACAGAAAAATCCAGCGAAATTTTGAGAAAGAAATGATACTAATACCTGACACTTTTGGTTTTTGGAACCACACACGTCCTTCTCTTTCTGTCGTTCCAGTTTCCAACTTCTCTTCGGTCTTTCGTAACGCTGATTCGGCCAACCTCAGCTCCTTTTCTTCTCTTTCTTCCGTATCAATCTGACGGATCGACTCTTCAAGCGAGTCAATTCGCTGCCGATATGCCTCCACTACTTCTGAAACCATAAAATAAGGAAACATTAACAAGGACACAAATTCCGCACTTCCGCAGATAAGTCAGGATAGGATACGCTGCGCTATTGCAAGATACGACGGCACTGTGGTGGCAATGCAGTTAAAAACGCGTAAAACAGCTCCTTTTAATGAAAAAGAGACTGGGCCTTAGGTAGGAGAAAGAGATTCCAGTGTGTGGGAGCAAGTTCCATTTCTCCCAAAACTCCTGCTCCCTCCTACGCTTAGTCCTAGAGCATGCCCCGTATCTTGCGATAGCGCCTACATACATACAGTACACGCCTACATAAATACGATACACTCGCTCTTTGTTCACCCCATCTTTTTCTTCTCAACAATATTTTCTATAAGTCTTTTTCTTCTAAAAAGCAAAACATTACAGCAAAAACTGAGTTGAACATTCTCAGATCTCACTATACTATATCGCTCACTTTCCCAGCGGACTTATCTTCGGGCGGACTTCTCTATATTCTCTCAGGGCAATAAAAGTTTCAAAACCGCTCAATGGGTAGGAACCCTCTTGACGTTCCTTCTGCCGCTATTCGTAGACAACGTTTCACTTCAGTAAATGGTTTGACCTGTTTTGCGATCATTGCTAGGCTTTACGATGTCGAGAAGAAACGGTTCTGTGCATTCGCATTATCGTGTCCTTTTGTAAAAACCTTTCTCAAATGTTTCTCTCGAATCATTAATGTGAAAACGCACCAGGTGCAACCATACGTTGCTTCAGCGTTCGATCAGGGTTGGTGTTGATAATTTCCTTGAGCAGTTTTCTGTCATCTTCGCCAACTAACGAAATTGATCTGAAAATGAGCCTGATTGGGAACCTGTGCTAAAATAATCGTGTTTTCAAACGCCCTCCTCCTACTCCCTAGAAAAGATTGGTTTGAAACGCTGGTCGTAATTAGATTCACTATTCTCCACCAAGAAAGCACAGCTGTAGTAAACTTGATAGGTTAAAATAAACGAAAGCTAAATTAGCAGTTCAGTCCAAGCGAGATGCGCCATGTGTGCTGGACCATGTGACGTTTTTGAAGGAGCGCCGAGAATCGATTCAGGGTTTCTAACCTAACAGGAAAGATCTGTACCAAAACCACAAGGGAATGAAGTGGATCGACCTCTGTGAGATTCAATCCCTTATACGGCACTTCGAAGAAGCGATGCGTGCAAGTGTTCATTCACGATCACATACTGAAACCTACTCCACTAAAGCAGACACACAATGAAGGGAGAATCTTGAAGGATCCCTAGAAAAGACCATGCGAATCCCCTAGTAGAGACGTTGAAAAGTCGGCCATGGCACACAAATATTTTGAACTGGGAAGACAAATACAAAAATGCGAGCGCTTGTGATAGAAAAATATTCTAGGTTATTAGGTCAGAAATGGAGAGGAGAACCAGAAGCGTCGAGTGAAAAAAGGAATCAACAAACCTTCCTGCCCGTCCTGCTCGCGCAGTTCGCCCAACTCTGTGAATGTACTGCTTTATGGTCCTTGGCATATGCATATTTATAACCTAAAGCAAATCATTGACCACCATTGGAACAATTCCAAAACATCTTGTAGAGAATGAACATCTTTTGGTCTCTTATATGTATGTCACTCACAGGCTGAACTCCTTCAATATCGAGTCCACGAGAAGCCAAATCAGTGGAGACTAACACATCGATCTGAAAATCGCACTAAACTCAAAAATGCAATGTTTATCACTAGCCTTCTCAACTTGAATCTGATTAATTATATAAAACCTGGGACGGTAGCAAAGTACCCTTAACTCGCAATCAGAAGTAACGATCGGAGATTCTAAGCAAAGAATAAAGAATGGAGAGTGCGATCCAGCCCAGATCAAGCAAGAGCTTCCTACTTTAGATTTCAGACGACAAAATATCAGGAAACGAATAAATAAGAAAAAAAAGGTTGCAAAAGTACCTGAAGATTATGGATCGCAGCTGCATTCTTTGATTCCTAACAGGTTGAGCTGGTCAGAGAAGAAAAAAGAGCACGGGATTGAAGAGGCGCAGTCACCACGTCTGACACGTATGACCCTCCAGTAAAAAGTCCTTCGGAGTACTTTTTACTCGTGGGTCAACGTGGCGTCTGCGCCTCCTCGACCTCACACTATTTCTTTTCTCTGCCTAATTACGAATTAGGTTTACAAGTTAACTCTCTAACTACTAATTAAAATGGTTTTTTTGGTTATGATCTAACTGTAGGTTAAACAAGACTTAATGTGTTGAGAAGCGCTCTGAACCTGTTATCTAACTGACTTTAGTCTGAGCTAATCTCGACACGTTAAGTCTGA